AGTAGGTAGCAGTTACAGGAAACAAGTAGGTAGCAGTTACAGCACACAAGTAGGTAGCAGTTACAGCACACAAGTAGGTAGTACTTACAACACAGAAGTAGGTATCGGTTACAGCACACTAGTAGGTAGCAGTTACAGCACACAAGTAGGTTTCAGTTACAGCACACAAGTAAGTAGCACTTACAGCACACAAGTAGATAACAGTTACAGCACACAAGTAGGTAGTACTTACAACACAGAAGTAGGTATCGGTTACAGCACACTAGTAGGTAGCAGTTACAGCACACAAGTAGGTTTCAGTTACAGCACACAAGTAAGTAGCACTTACAGCACACAAGTAGGTAACAGTTACAGCACACAAGTAGATAGCAGTTATAGAACACAAAGTAAAAAAAACAGCTTTGGATTCACCGGAATATATACGACTATATGTTATCAAGACATTATACATTGAAATAAGATATTACCATTAACGAAAGCCTGTTTATAGCAGTATTAGTTACAGCACACAAGTAGGTAGTAGTTACAGCACACAAGTAGGTATCGGTTACAGCACTCACACAAGTAGGTAGCAGTTACAGCACACAAGTAGGTAGTAGTTACAGCACACAAGTAGGTATCAGTTACAGCACACAAGAAGGTAACACTCACAGCACACAAGTAGGTAGCAGTTATAGAACACAAAGTAAAAAACAACTTTGGATTTACCAGAATATATACGACTATATGTTATCAAACCATTATACATTGAAATAAGATATTACCATAAACGAAAGCCTGTTGATAGCAATTACAGCACAACTGGTATCTTCAAATTATCAAATGTTGTAACATTAAGTTATAACTTTATATTAACATATATTTAACATCACATAACAATTCAGCAATTGTACACACCAGGTATACTATCTTAGCGGAAAACGAACCGCTTTCATACTTTACAATACGATAATTTTATCAAACACGAAAACCGTGCTACTTTTATCTGGAGAATGTCACATAATTTGGGACTATTACCCTTCATGGTGCTTAAGACTTGGTTTATTACAAGTGTAATTATCTGCGTTTAAAATCATTAAAAAAGTTTTTACTTACAATATTTTCATTGTTCATTATATTTAGAAACGGTATGTCACTGTCTAGTATTAAGAGACCTTTTATAACTTATATAAAAACGATTTGCAATTTCTACTTCATAGTTAAATTTCTGAATGCTGAAAAGGACCAATCCTGAGAAAAGACTTTGAAAACATACAAGCGAAATGGACAACTGGTTAAAAAGTTTTATTATTTCGGTGAAAATCAATATTTACAAAGTATATAAAACGAGTACCCTACAAGTTTTGTTAGACATCTGAGGAATTTTTTCACATGGTTTACTTTATGCATGTAAAGTATATAAACCGGCAATGGGCCAAAGCCATTTGTTTCTTGAAACTGCTAAAACTTCTAAAATACTGGCCTCAACTTGACATCTTCATGCATCACGTTCCTAGTAATTATCCAAATTCAGAAATGAAAATATTTCAGACCGTGGGAGATAGCAGTTTGGGTCCAACGTCTTTTACAGTAAACCTTTAGTTAGTGAAAGATTTGAATACTAATACATCAAGGTCGATAACATACATCACTTTCTAACTTGGTATGATATGGCCATTAAATGTATCAATTAAAAGAGAAGACGACAGATTAGTATTAGTATTATTTGATGGGTTTTTAATTGCTTTAGTGTAGGTTGTCCCTCTAAGCGAAATAAAGCTGATTGTTGCTACTAATGATTTTTGAAGATATAATTCAGCTGATATAGTGAATGAAACGTCTTTGATAAATGGACGTTTAGGAGACAAAATGTTGCATTTGTTTCCAGTATGCAAATTTAAAATGATAATCTCGGTAAATGATTTTAAAATTTGGACATTTTATTGATTTTTAAAAATACCACGACACTAATTTAAAGATTTCACGAAATGCTACGTGTAGGTATATGTATAATGATTTTAATAATTAATTGACAAAAAGCTGTATAAAGAATATAGATATATGTAATGCCAGTACGATATGCTGATTGACAAAGAGACTGATATGACTAAGCAGTCTGTAGGACAGGAAACCGGGCAGTGTTTTAGTGGCCATTCCTAGGACGTTTTCAATAGCTTCAATATGGTTTATGACATGCGAACTCCACAACTGATTGCTTACTCCAAATTATGTCTTACCAAGTCCTTTGTGTGTAAGGTCTTAGATGTATTACAATCCCTTCATTTTATCTTGTTCCTTCTGATCGTCCCCATTACCGAAACGACTTCCTAATTTTTTTTCATAAACTGTATTTCAGTATCAAATGACAGTTTGTTAACAAGAACCATTCCTATATAGTTATATTTTCCATCTTGTTTGTAAACGGAATTTTTGTTCCATTCTCCAACTTGTACACGTAATTTATCTAATCTGTGGTTCCTATTCTCATGGTTTTACATTTGTCAGGTGGAATGTAATGTAACTTTTCAACACTCCAGTGCTGAGCATTAATCAACTCTTTTTCAGGGAAGTGCAAATAAGCATTACTTGATATTGAACATTAGGATTTCGTATCATGGACATAAAAGGATTTTCTCGTATCGAAACGTGACACCCTCGATAGGTCAGTGTTATAAAGAACGAATTGGACCGGCCCAAGATTCTTGTAGGACACCACTAGTTACTGTCTTCCAAACTGATATCGCACGTGTATGTTGTTTCAGTTGAAGATGTGCTCCACACAGACTCATCTCGTGAATAAATCTGTGATGGAGACCTTATCAACGGTCTTCCGGAGTTTCTGTTGGTTTCGTTGTCTATTCTGAAATATTAAACCGGGCTATACACGTGTGAGATCTTACAGATTTCTGGTGGTAGACACTGATGGTTGTGTTGAAGATGCTATTCATTCGGTTCGCATCGACAATGTATTGTTAAAATGAACGACTTGGAAATGTCCGAAGTTCAAACAGAATTGAAATGTCAAAGGGATTAGTCTGTAAGATTGGCGCATCTGATTCTAAACATGTATTTTGGATAGAACAAAAGCATCAAAATGATTTTAGAACTAAATGTATATTTATAATTTTCATCTATTAAAACATGAATTTAACAAGTCATAAATTATCGTCGGTTCGTTTTAAAACAGGCTTTGTAATATCGATGTAAAACTGTATCCTGCCTAACTGGAGAGAAGGCAAAATTTTACTTGATTCAAGTTTATTATCTGAATTATGTTCAGTTTACTACATGTACCTCACATCAAAGTGTGTTCTCAATTCAATAACTATAATTATCCTCGCTAACTCTGCTTTCTAGAAAATCATGCTAAAACAGACTGTCACATTGGCAAATACAAAATTTTCTTTTCCTTTTTAGGCTAAACGTACTCAGTACGCATAGCCTATTGCGACGGCCTTTCAGACAAAATTTACCGATCCTGGCCTTCTCATTGGCAGAAATATCGAAAAGAGTTAGAGCACTCTAGCGGCAATTTTCTGCGTAAATAATGCCGCGATTTTTCAAATCGCTATTTTAAAAGCATCCAAAATTAGTTTATTTTTTTAATAACAATACGATTACTATATATTTCAAAAAAGAAACACAGTGTGGTTGAACTATTGATAAATTTTGAACAATATATTTTACGGAATTCTCGACATGACGTAAGCGTACAGAACATTGTACGTGCGAGTTGGCGCCATGATAAGAAGCTAGTCTGGGGGCTTGGTTTGAATTATCAACTAACAGCACTTATAAGCAAACAAAACTTACAAACAGAACATCAATTTTGCTTTAATCCTTGTCGTTGTGGCAAGATCGTCTTAATATATAACATCACTTGACCTCATTAGACGTCACAAAATTGGACTGTTCGTCCTACGCGCACCCCGCCGATATGACACTTTTTTTTAGGATTTTCACACCCACCGCCATGACACTTTTTTTTAAGTTTTTGAAGATAAAAAGTTTGCGCTTCGTAGGCAAGGTACATTTGGTGCTCATGATTTATGAATGATATATTTTTAATACTGTACTGATCATGATGTTGATTTTGTTATAACTTACATTTTTTTGTCCTTTAGTTTTATTTGATGAAGGTTGATTGTGCTGATTTCTCAAGGTTTGTTAATGTGTATCAAAGTTCCTTGAAATGAAAATATTCCTTCAAACCAAGCGCGTATAAAAAAACCCAAAATATTTAAGTTTATTATTATCAATTAACTTGAACGAAATATTTCCGTAACATATTTATTCATTTAGCGTGTCATGGTGACATTATCTAATGCATTGGAGATCAGAAATAGTAGTAGCTATAGTGAAAATATTGTACATTTTGTATATATATATGGAAGTCTGGTTTAATCCCATAGAATTATGCCTTTATAGACATAATTACTGGAAGAAAAGTCTAACCATGATACTTCAAGGAAGATAGGCATGTAAATACATTTAATGTAATTACTTACACTTTTATCTATCTGAAATGCTGTGTACACCTTATCTACTTTCCTCTACTACAAATATGATTATAATAAGTAAGGACGATTACTTTGCAATACATTCAAAATAAAGAAGTAGGTATAAAGTCCTTTCGATTTGTTTAAATCCTCATATTGAGAGGATAGTAATTGCAACATCTTGGGTATTTTAAAGTTTTATTTAGTCAACTGCATCATAGAGCTATTTATTATTTGGCTTGTTGGCGATAAATATATGGTTGTGTGTATTTTGTTATTTTTTTTACCTATTTTGATTTATTCACATTATTGTCGTCAAATTTGAAATAAGAATTAAAGTAGATATAAAATCGCTTAAAATTAAGAAAAATAGCCTTTGGGTCTCTTATTTTAGTAATTTTTGCATTCCAAAGTGTAGGAGTATGGGGAAAGTAATATAGCTTAGCGGTTATTTGTGAACATTTTTCAATACGTTTAGCCTCTCAGTACTTTCAGTACTTTGATTAAAATTAGGATGCAGCTATGCATGACTTGGAAGGTGGGTTCAGATATGTTCTATGTGGTGACGTGGGAGGGGTGGACACCAGGCGACGACAGAAGCATAATTCAAGCTTTCACGTATGTTCTAAACATTGATGAATATATGTAGATGAACGAAGATAATTTGGACAATCAATACACAGACGATATTGAGACGCTCTCCATTCAAGAATACGTTATAGACATTAAGACTAACCTATGTCATTACTAAGAGCCGACTGGAGGCAGTGCATCATCTTATATCAATTCACACTGTCGATCACGTGATTTTCCAGCGGGCGACAAACAACTAGCTTTAAGGCAAATTATCCAGCTAATTAAAGATGGGATTCTGTCTATGAATTCAAAATAGATAAAATACCAGAATATGCGGTCAGTTTAATTTGAAATAGAGATTATAAGGTTGAAATTCATTTCCTGGAAATCAATGAAAATTTACAAATATGTCGTTAGTAGTGCATGTGCACGTTAACAACAGGTTGTGAAGAACACTGAAACCATTATTTTGTACCCGTTTTGTTTATTTATTTCAAACCGAGTTGGAAGCATATCCATTAGCAGAATGCAACACATTAAAATTTCCATATAAATATTGCTCTCTCACTGCAAGCCTGTGGCAATTCGATACTATCTGATTGTGTTCTGTCGTTGCCTAGCCGACAAACATCAACTTATCCTATTTCTATATTTTTATATATCCTATGTTGGTTTTCTTTATATTGTTCAATATGTTTCGATATATGCTAGTATTACAATACACTATTTATGTTGTTTATACATTTTTATTGAACTATACGATAACTGGAGAATTTATTTATTTACAATTATATATATCTGACTAGGTACTGCGTGGCAATCACAGTGAAATCTACATTACATTAAGTAAACACTATATAGTGGTAACAATGCCCTAGGCACAATATAGTAAACAGATGTGTTGTCGATAGAATTTGATACCATTTCAGTCACATCTAAAATCATTTCAACTGTAGTATAATGTTAATACTAAACCTTGGACAGTCTGTATATATTTCCATTGCTAGCAGTTAAAATGATGCACGCCAAAGAATATCGGAGATGTTTTATATTTCTGATTATTGTTATTGCTGTGATGTTCTGCTACTGTAAGTAACCACTGCGGTTGTGTTGTTACTCATTCTTCATGTCGTACAATACCCATAACTTAAAAAATGTTAAAATTACAAACTTTACCTCGTAAGAAACAGAATATTCGTTAAAATACGTTTGTCGATTTGAGATAAAAATGTTTTTCAATTTAATCATAATATCTATTCCCTTGCATCTCTTTTGTTTAATTTTAGGTGTGTTTTTTCAGTACCTAGACACAAAATTAGAACCAGAAGGAACAGGTAAAATTTTATTACAGAACACAAATCTTAACACTGACAGGAAGCAAGCAATTGCTGACAATGAGGAACGTCGTGAATTAGAGAACACAAATCTTAACACTGACAGGAAGCAAGCAATTGCTGACAATGAGGAACGTCGTGAATTAGAGAACACAAATCTTAACACTGACAGGAAGCAAGCAGTTGTAGACATTGAGGAACGTCGTGAATTAGAGAACACAAATGTTAACACTGACAGGAAGCAAGCAGTTGTAGACATTGAGGAACGTCGTGACGCTACTAGAGAAAAGTCCCAAGGTGAGAGGAATTTAAATTCTCCCGATGCATCGTCTACATAAATTGCATGTGTATTTAACTTTTTTTATTTTCATTGACATGGGATCATATATTGATAAAATTTCTGACTTGATATCTTCATAAATTTTATTTGTCGACTTACTGAGAATTTGTCTCTGATTTAACATGTCACTATAGACGGTTCATCATTACACCAACAGAATATGTCTAACAACGTTATTGGTAGTTCTCATGATGAATCGGAAGCTTAGACCATCGGCCGAGTACATAGAATTATACCAGAATTTAAATTCAGCATTATACCGATTCATGCGAAAAGTAAAATGAAATAGTATACTAGGGATTGATAATGTACATTCAGCGAACTTCATACGGATACCGAATTCAACATAGTTCCTCGTCAAAATGTTCTTCCATCTTTCAATCATACTATTCTTTGAATGTATTAAAATAAACATGTTTCAGTGACATGGGTTGATAAGTAATTGATATGTGTTACTTGTTCAGTGTATCAGGTTTTTACTATACCATACATGATATGACTTTATCGCAATGTAAGTAAATTAGCACAGTACGAAGTGCGTATACATAATATATATATATATATATATAAACAATGTACTTAAATTACTTCTCTCGAGTTTTTTGACACGAAAGAGAATCTTCTACTCGCATCATGGGACACGGTAATATTGCATTGAGCGGGATTTTTCATAATGACCAGTAAATTATATCATTATCTTACAGACGGGGCCCAGGTATTACTGGTGACGTATTTACGGTCAGGTTCCACATTCTTAGGAGAGATTGTCCAGCAGATAGACAGACTTATGTACAGGTTTGAGCCCCTCCAGCGTTACATGGAGCCAGGTCAATACATTTCTCGTAACAAGGGTTTTTGCTTCCTCTCCAACGATAGCTGCAGGTACGTGAAAGTAATAAACAATTTCTCAATTGATTAACAATGCTAAGGAGAGGTAATGTGTTTGTAAAAGTGTGTGATGTAATGTAGATGTGTGGGAGGTAATGATGATGTAATATAGATGTGTGAGATGACGATGATGTACTGTAGATGTGTGTGAGATGACGATGATGTACTGTAGATGTGTGGGAGGTGACGATGAAGTACTGTAGATGTGTGTGAGGTGATGATGATGTACTGTAGATGTGATGATGATGATGATGATGATGATGATGTAATGTAGATGTGTGGAAGGTGATGATGTACTGTAGATGTGTGGAAAGTGATGGTGATGTAATGTAGATGTATGGGAGGTGATGATGATGTAATATAGATGTGTGGGAGGTGATGATGATGTATTGTTGATGTGTGGAAGGTGATGATGATGTAATATAGATGTGTGGGAATGATGATGTACTGTAGATATGTGGGAGGTAATGATGATGTACTGTAGATGTGTGGGGGTGATGCTGTACTGTAGATGTGTGGGAGGTAATGATGTACTGTAGATGTATGGGAGGTAATGATGATGTACTGTAGATGTGTGGGAGGTAATGATGATGTACTGTAGATGTGTGGAAGGTGATGATGATGTAATGTAGATAAGTGGGAGGTAATGATGTACTGTAGATGTGTGGGGGTGATGATGATGTAATATAGATGTGTGGGAGGTGATGATGATGTATTGTTGATGTGTGGAAGGTGATGATGATGTAATATAGATGTGTGGGGATGATGATGTACTGTAGATATGTGGGAGGTGATGATGATGTAATGTAGATAAGTGGGAGGTAATGATGTACTGTAGATGTGTGGGGGTGATGATGATGTAATATAGATGTGTGGGAGGTGATGATGATGTATTGTTGATGTGTGGAAGGTGATGATGATGTAATATAGATGTGTGGGGATGATGATGTACTGTAGATATGTGGGAGGTGATGATGATGTACTGTAGATGTGTGGGGGTGATGATGTACTGTAGATGTGTGGGAGGTAATGATGTACTGTAGATGTATGGGAGGTAATGATGATGTACTGTAGATGTGTGGGAGGTAATGATGATGTACTGTAGATGTGTGGAAGGTGATGATGATGTAATGTAGATAAGTGGGAGGTAATGATGTAATGTAGATGTGTGGGGGTGATGATGTACTGTAGATGTGTGGGAGGTAATGATGATGTACTGTAGATGTGTGGGAGGTGATGATGATGTACTGTAAATGTGTGGGGTGATGATGATGTACTGTAGATGTGTGGGGGTGATGATGATGTACTGTAGATGTGTGGGAGGTGATGATGATGTACTGTAGATGTGTGGGAGGTAATGATGATGTACTGTAGATGTGTGGGAGGTGACGATGATGTACTGTAGATGTGTGGGAGATGATGATGATGTATTGTTGATGTGTGGAAGGTGATGATGATGTACTGTAGATATGTGGAAGGTGATGATGATGTAATGTAGATGTATGGGAGGTGATGATGTACTGTAGATGTGTGGAAAGTGATGGTGATGTAATGTAGATGTATGGGAGGTGATGATGATGTAATATAGATGTGTGGGGGTGATGATGATGTACTGTAAATGTGTGGGAGGTGATGATGTACTGTAGATGTGTGGGAGGTGATGATGATGTAATGTAGATGTATGGGAGGTGATGGTGATGTAATGTAGATGTGTGGGAGGTGATGATGATGTAATGTAGATGTATGGGAGGTGATGATGATGTAATATAGATGTGTGGGAGATGACGATGATGTACTGTAGATATGTGGGAGGTAATGATGATGTAATGTAGATGTATGGGAGGTGATGATGATGTACTGTAGATGTGTGGGAGGTGATGATGATGTACTGTAAATGTGTGGGGTGATGATGATGTACTGTAGATGTGTGGGGGTGATGATGATGTACTGTAGATGTGTGGGAGGTGATGATGATGTACTGTAGATATGTGGGAGGTAATGATGATGTACTGTAGATGTGTGGGAGGTGACGATGATGTACTGTAGATGTGTGGGAGATGATGATGATGTATTGTTGATGTGTGGAAGGTGATGATGATGTACTGTAGATATGTGGAAGGTGATGATGATGTAATGTAGATGTATGGGAGGTGATGATGTACTGTAGATGTGTGGAAAGTGATGGTGATGTAATGTAGATGTATGGGAGGTGATGATGATGTAATATAGATGTGTGGGGGTGATGATGATGTACTGTAAATGTGTGGGAGGTGATGATGTACTGTAGATGTGTGGGAGGTGATGATGATGTAATGTAGATGTATGGGAGGTGATGGTGATGTAATGTAGAGGTGTGGGAGGTGATGATGATGTAATGTAGATGTATGGGAGGTGATGATGATGTAATATAGATGTGTGGGAGATGACGATGATGTACTGTAGATATGTGGGAGGTAATGATGATGTAATGTAGATGTATGGGAGGTGATTATCATGTACTGTAGATGTGTGGGGGTGATGATGATGTAATGAAGGTGTATGGGAGGTGATGATGATGTACTGTAGATGTGTGGGAGGTAATGATGATGTACTGTAGATATGTGGAAGGTGATGATGATGTAATGTAGGTGTATGGGAGGTGATGATGATGTACTGTAGATGTGTGGGAGGTGATGATGATGTACTGTAGATGTGTGGGAGGTGATGATGATGTACTGTATATGTGTGGGAGGTAATGATGATGTACTGTAGATGTGTGGGAGGAGATGATGATGTAATGTAGATGTGTGGGAGGTGATGATGTACTGTAGATGTGTGGGAGGTGATGATGATGTAATGTAGATGTATGGGAGGTGATGATGATGTAATATAGATGTGTGGGGATGATGATGTACTGTAGATGTGTGGGAGATGACGATGATGTACTGTAGATGTGTGGGGGTGATGATGTACTGTAGATGTGTGGGAGATGATGATGATGTCATATAGATGTGTGGGGGTGATGATGATGTACTTGGATGTGTGGGAGGTGATGATGATGTACTGTAGATGTGTGGGGGTGATGATGTACTGTAGATGTGTGGGGTGATGATGATGTACTGTAGATGTGTGGGAGCTGATGATGATGTACTGTAGATGTGTGGGAGGTGATGATGATGATGTACTGTAGATGTGTGTGAGATGACGATGATGTACTGTAGATGTGTGGGGGTGATGATGTACTGTAGGTGTGTGTGAGATGACGATGATGTACTGTAGATGTGTGGGAGGTGATGATGATGTCATATAGATGTGTGGGGGTGATGATGATGTACTTGGATGTGTGGGAGGTGATGATGATGTACTGTAGATGTGTGGGAGGTGATGATGATGTACTGTAGATGTGTGGGGGTGATGATGATGTACTGTAGATGTGTGGGAGGTGATGATGATGTACTGTAGATGTGTGGGAGGTGATGATGATGTACTGTAGATGTGTGGGGGTGATGATGTACTGTAGATGTGTGGGAGGTGATGATGATGTAATGTAGATGTGTGGTGGTGATGATGTACTGTAGATGTGTGGAAGGTGATGATGTACTGTAGATGTGTGGGAGCTGATGATGATGTACTGTAGATGTGTGGGAGGTGATGATGATGTACTGTAGATGTATGGGAGGCGATGATGATGTACTGTAGAAGTGTGGGAGGTGATGATGATGTACTGTAGATGTGTGGGAGATGATGATGATGTAATGTAGATGTGTGGGAGGTGATGATGTACTGTAGATGTGTGGGAGGTGATGATGATGTACTGTAGATATGTGGGAGGTAATGATGATGTACTGTAGATGTGTGGGGGTGATGATGTACTGTAGATGTGTGGAAGGTGATGATGTACTGTAGATATGTGGAAGGTGATGATGATGTAATGTAGATGTATGGGTGGTGATGATGATGTAATGTAGATGTGTGGGAGGTGATGATGATGTACTGTAGATGTGTGGGAGGTGATGATGATGTAATGTAGATGTGTGGAAGGTGATGATGTACTGTAGATGTGTGGAAAGTGATGATGATGTAATGTAGATGTATGGGAGATGATGATGATGTACTGTTGATGTGTGGAAGGTGATGATGATGTAATGTAGATGTGTGGGGGTGATGATGTACTGTAGATGTGTGGAAGGTGATGATGTACTGTAGATATGTGGAAGGTGACGATGATGTACTGTAGATGTGATGATGATGATGATGATGATGATGATGATGATGATGATGATGATGTGTGGGGGTGATGATTACTGTAGATGTGTGGGGGTGATGATGATGTACTGTAGATGTGTGGGAGGTGATGATGATGTAATGTAGATGTGTGGAAGGTGATGATGTACTGTAGATATGTGGAAGGTGACGATGATGTAATGTAGATGTGTGTGAGATGACGATGATGTACTGTAGATGTGTGGGAGGTGACGATGATGTACTGTAGATGTGTGTGAGGTGATGATGATGTACTGTAGATGTGATGATGATGATGATGATGATGATGATGATGATGATGATGATGATGATGATGATGATGATGATGATGTGTGGGAGTGATGATGTACTGTTGATGTGTGGGGGTGATGATGTACTGTAGATGTGTGGGAGGTGATGATTATGTAATGTAGATGTGTGGGGGTGATGATGATGTACTGTAGATGTGTTGGAGGTGACGATGATGTACTGTAGTTGTGTGTGAGGTGATGATGATGTACTGTAGATGTGATGATGATGATGATGATGATGATGATGATGATGATGATGATGATAATGATGATGTGTGGTGGGGGTGATGATGTACTGTAGATGTGTGGGGGTGATGATGTACTGTAGATGTGTGGGGGTGATGATGATGTACTGTAGATGTGTGGGAGGTGATGGTGATGTACTGTAGATGTGTGGGAGGTGATGATGATGATGTACTGTAGATGTGTGTGAGATGACGATGATGTACTGTAGATGTGTGG